TTCAAGTCAAGAACGAACTGAATCTCCCTGGAGAAGAAAGCGTGTTTGCGAAAAATGAAATAGACAAAGAGTCTCATCTCGCTAGACGATGTCTTCGTAAAATAGTGTCCACTTCTATTGCATGCTCCGATGAATCAAGTAGCTTGAATACAGCAAGACGATATCTGAAAAGCATTAGTCCAGTGGATGATCTGGTTAGTATTTGAATGCTGAAAAAAGAAAGAAACTATGGCGTAAGGTGTTTTTTTTTGCGCAGCCGATTTTGTCTTCCTCAGAAGAAGCTGGCAGCCTGCCAAGTTTAGAATCACAATAAAGCACTTTCAGCAGTGCCTCGGATACATAAGAATTCAAAGTTGTCCTATTGGCGAGAATAACTGGTCGAATATTTTCAGTTTTCAGACTAAATAAGACAATTTGCATAGAAGTTGACCTCCAACTAATTTAAATCTACTAACGTTGCCAATGATTTTTTAGCTATTACCATTCTTTTTAGGCTTTCTTCTAATTCACTTGCTTTCATTAAAAATACCTGTATGTTTGGACAAAAATAATAAAGTTGTAGAAAAAACTCATATTTTAGAAACTTTTTTATTGATACTTGGTTTTCTGCGTGGTAGGAAAGTACCAGATGAATGTGGTCGGAAAATTATGTGCTACTTGCGCAGCAAAAGGTTACCTTTTTCCGTTGTAATTAGGCTTTACTTGAAATTAATCTTATTACATTAGCCAGCATAGTGTATTATTATGAACGTACTTTTTTACAACCTAACTCGCAAATAAAAGTGCTCAATTTAGTGGCAATTTTGCTATAATAACGCGCTGTAGCATTGGAATTTCATAGCATCTGTTATCTGATTTATTTGTGGCTAGTGTTTGTCGATTTTTAAGCGTCTGGCCGAGTGAGGATGACGGGAGACTGATTCTCGAGGTCGCTGATTCGATTCCGTCCCGCAGCAAAAGTTTAAATAATTTTAGACTTATTTCTAATTTTTCGTATATCTATTTATAGAGCTGCTTTTTTGTCGTTTTTCCGCTAAGTTTTGCGAAGAGCTGCTTTGCCTCTCTGTTTTAAGCCTCGCGCAAAACCGTCTAGGGCACCTCTTAAGTCATGCTCCATTGCGATTAACCATTGCTTTTGAAAAGTCAATCCTCGTTTTTCTCCAAAATATGTCACAGTAAATGTTGAAGTAGCCTATGCTATGAAAATTTTTTGGCATCAAAGGAATTACACTTGCGATTAGCAAGAGCTTTAAAGGTAGAATAAGGTTAACATTTTATTTTAAAAAATTGCCCTGAATAATTCTGAGCGCCAGTAGCTGTTTTTGAGAATAGTTTTTGTTCAATTTCTTATTTCACTGTTTGAAATCTATCTAATTTATATTCAAATGCCTGTGATGGGTACCTTGCCATGTTTAAGCTATCCTTACAAGGCTAGAGTGCCATAGCATCTTCTAACTTGTTCAAACCTATAAAGAATATAGCAATGTTTTTTTTTTATTATCCAGTTTGTTCCGACACTCCAAAAAGTGACCTCGAGGATCGATCTGTTAATCTGCATGGGCATATTTGGTGTCCACACCACTATAATAACCTGCCACGAGTCTGTCTAAACTGCTCGTTTAAAATTTACACGCGTGGCGAATTGTCAAGAACTACGAAATCATTCCAAATTGAATTGAGGCAGCTAATTAGTTTGGTTAATTCTATGCACGACTCAAATGGTAACATGTAAACTGAAATATGATCAGCCTAAAATTCATTTTTTGCAATTACCTATATTGCAAAAAGTAATAATGGAGACCAATAAAATATCAGTTAGAAACTTCATATTTTTGTAGACCTAGTTTTTTCAACTTCTAAAATTTTTTGTTCGATTTATGTTTGTTTTGTTTCACAAGTGATTCGAAGCTCCGCTTATGTTTTTTTTACAAGTGATTCGAAGCTCCGCTTCGCCTCTGTGTATAATATAAAAAATTTTCAGGTTGATTGGCGTCCATGCGGACAAATTTTAGGTATTTGTTACTGTTTTGTGTAAAAGTGCCTTTTTCTATAGATCGATTGCTCTTCAAAACCGATTGCTTCCCTTAGAACTGTCTTCTTGTAGCTCAATTTGAGTATTTGTAGTATCTTTTTTCTATAGTATCCTTGTGGTAATTTTTTGTATATTTGTGTGCATAGGCAAAATACAATCTGAACGGTTCTCAAATTTTCTGTTTTCTCATAATTGCAGTCAAAATTATAGTTTTTGCTTATCGATGACAATCAATGTCCTTCCAATAAGGACGCCCAAAATGTTTCTTTTTTGCGAAGATTACATTCATTTTCTTCAACATCAAAATATTCCACATATGCTAATATATCTTTGCTTAATTTCGAACGAGTTGTACGCGCCATGTGGCCTTAATGCCATTTTACGAGGTAGAGACTAAAAAAACGTGTTCAGAACACTTAATTTGCAAAGTTCTCTGGCATCATGACTATGTTGAATTAGTTTGACTCTAAGTTTGCATTTAATTACAGCAGTGAACGAATTAAAGCGCATATTCAGATTTTTTCTCTCTTAAACGCCTGTTCTCTCTTAAAGGATAACTTTCAATGGGACCTTAAACAAAACTTTTTCATAGACCAAGAGCAAATTATCAGCGCTGCCATCTATGATTTTAGCGAAATTTGATTTCAAAGGTTTTTTTTGGGTCTGAAAAGGCCAGTTTTAAATTATCTGCATTAAGTTTTTTGTCGGTGTGAACTCTTTCTTGAAAAAGCGGAGAAAAATATTGCTCGTGCGATGTGAAACAATCTAAGCAATTTTAAGGAATTGTTTATAGTGAATTCTTTACTAAACTCCGCTGTTTCTTAAAAACAATTTAGAGCAGATTGTGAAAACTGGCGTTTTAAGACCCAGGAAAACCTGGCAAGTCTTTGAAACGAAATTTTGATTATTTTGTAGAGGGCACGTCTGATCGTTTGCTCTTCGTCTTTGTAAAAACTTTGTTCAAATTACGAGTGAAACTTGTTCAAAATTGTCTTTGAAAACAGGTAATTTGAAGAGAAAAAGTCTGAATTTGCGCTTCATTTTATCCACTACTGTAGAATAGTTGAAATAGACTAGAAATCAAATTTCAACTCAAACTCAACTTTTACTGTCCAAAGTGCCTATTTTAGGAACCATTTTGGATGGTGCCTAAAAATGTGAAGTCAATACAAACTAACGCTTTCAAGCAATATTGATCACAATTCAACAACAACTTTTCATTTGATTTTTTTAAGCTTTGAAATTCTTTGTAAGCTTCAAAGAAAATTGTTCCTAAAATTAACCTGCACAACCTAATTGTAAGCCAAAGAATAAAGGTATATTTATGGCTTATCTTTCTGTTTTATTTAGTTAATTGACCTTAAAAAGGCAATGTTTTGTCAGGACTGTGAGTGAAAAAAGGCAGTTAGCTCTATGAAATAAATTAGGAAAACAGGTCATTATGGTTGTTTGGTTTGCCCAAATTTTTTAAATCGTAATTTCCAGGAAAATCATCAAGTTCTTTTGCTATCTATCAGAGTAAGCCAATAATTTTGCATGTTTTTTCGGCTTTCGAAATTTAACTGTTGCATTTGAACGTCGCGCAGTATACTTATACTTTTTGAGGGATGCTAAAATAATTCGACCGTGATTGATAATTTTGTTTACACTCAAAGTTCATGTTGTTCAAAATGATCATGTTGTTCATGTTATCTTTAAAAAAGGCATTTTAGAGTGTAAAAACCTGATTTGAGCTTAGTTTTGTGGGTACCTTTTAATGACTAATGACATTTCTCTCATTTTATAAAAAAGGCTTTAATTATCTTTATGCTGAGAAGTAAAAAAAAAGAGTTTTCTGATAATTTTCATTTATAGGTCTGCTCATCATTCTCTACTACTTTCGCAAAATCCGCGTTTTTTTTTTAATTGAAGAAGTATAATTGTTCAACAAAAGCCGAAAACTCGCGCTTTTATCATTTGAACGTGTTGTGTTGTTTTAGACTGCGACTGCATCCGGATTTGCAGCTTTAGGCGATGTGCAGTCAGTTGAGAATCTCATTAGAACCGAAGGCACATCAGTATTTTCGGACAAGGATGCAGTATTGAAATTCACCTTCGACTTGTGTGTTACACTAGAGCTATACCTTGCCGGTCACAAGGAGACAGCGATGAAGTTTTTCTCTGACCAGAATAAATTAACTGGCTCTAAATTAGAAATTGATGATCAGTGTCAAGTTATTGCCGATTCGATTTTGACTTACTGTGTCGTAAACAAGCACGATGACTTGGCCTCGTTTATATTGAGAAATGTGGTTATTTTGGGATGGTATCAATCAGCGACGTATCCAGATGCGATTAGCGAGAGAGACCAGTTCGCTCATAAGAATTGGTATCTGTTTTGCAATCAATTCAGAAGGCCTACTAAGGTCTATAGGGCTGATGTAACAAAAGGAGAGCCGTTCCGATTTCAAAATAAAACTCGGAATATTAAGCAAATTACTCCTTCCATTACGCGAAACTAGACTTCAAAAATACTGATATTAATATTTTTGATGCATTTTCTCGAATTAAAACCTGGATCAAAGTTTCTGTTGTATCGAAGTCAAAGTTCTTAAATTGCTAAATAGAAAAGTAAAACAGTTTATTGATGTGAAAAGATGCGAGAAGCTTTTTCTATTGTTTATGGTTTCTTTTGTTCTCAAAAACTGAAACCATGTGCATCAAAATACTTTCAAGCTTCAACTCGTTTAAGGTTCGAAATTTGCAATATTTTCAGATTGAGTGGTTCTATGACCAATATTTGCATGCGGACTCCAGGAATGAACCTGCAAATATTGAACCATGTATCGATATGAGCTATCGACAATCGGAGGAATCTAATTCGCATTCTTAAAAGTAGAGTTCAAAACTGTTAAATCACAGAATTATTGTAACTGTTCTAGTTTTACTTCAACGAGTATTTTGAATCTTAGTTAGCTTGCCCTTAATAATGAGCAGTCTTACATTAACAACAAACAATCAAGCTTCTGTTTACCTTCACAAGTCTTTATCTTCCACTGCAAATCCACAGACAACTACGAATTCTCAGAGTAAAACAAATGCATTGCAACCAACTACGAGTAATTTAAATTCTAGAAACCAATCATCGACATCTTTGAATCTAAACCGAGTCTCAGCTTCTGCTGCTAAAGGTCTCCCTAATTCGCCAAGTACTTTGGAGGCCTCCCGACTCACTCCTAGTTTCGGATCCCCGACCTTGACGAGTAACCCAACGTCGCCTCAAAGGACATCGCTGGGATCTAATCGTTCAAACTTAACAATGAATCGAAATAGTTCATCATTCGTCAGATCTGCTTCGGGAAACTTGCCGATGTCATCAAGTGTGGGAATGGGACAGTCAATAATATCACCGGGTTCCGACCAGATTTTAACTCCTATTATGCACTCTGAAGCTGTGCCAAACACTCTTTTAAACTCAGCGTTTCTATATTCAACGAATAATGCAAGAAGGCAAGTACCAATCGGTGTTTTATTTAGGTTTGAAAAATAGAGTCCAAATATACGAATGTGACACAAATTCAATAAAAAGTTTGACCAAATTTGAGTGAGATTGATTTTAATCTGGTGTGTTGGACGCGTTAATACGGTTTTTATTTTTAGGAAGTTAAAGTAAGTATGCTAAAATCATTGCTTATAATTGGTTCAGGGCACGTTTTTCACAGTTCAATTTTTTCTGGACTGAAGGAAAAGCTACAGCAACATTCGTTCAAGTGTATTATATCGCACTGTTTCATGTCAACTTTTTGTTTGGTTTATTACCTATCGTAGTTTTTTTTAATAAAGATATATGTCTATTCTTTAGTTTAAAAATAGTTTTTCTTTCCGGTTAACTGCATTGAAACTGCGACCCTCAAGTATTGGGGAAACTCTTTGACTCGGGGAGGATTTTATTCAATGAAAAATCATATATCAAAATCCGTGTTGAATGAAGTGTCATAAAGCCATTTCATTTGTTTTTGAAAAGTATGAGAAAAATTAAATATAGAAAGCTTAAATTTTAATCTTACAAATGCGTTAGCAAATAATTCTGCCCATTTTGCAGTATAATGATTTAGTGTATTTTTTTGTCAATTTCTTAGAAAAGCATGAAATGCCACGCTATTAGCATGTGCTCAATCACTTAATTTTGTACTTCAGTGTAGGTCGAAACAATAAATATATATTAAATTGCTTTTTTTCCTGTTCCCTGATAATTATTTTTCTTAACCGAAATGTGCAAAATTGAGCGTCTAAATGTGCACCAAACACAAATTGGATACGTCTCAAAATCACTTTTCGAATGACTATACAACTTGACTTTAGCTCAAAAGCACTTGATAAATGTTTAAATTGTTAGTAAAATTCATAGTTTTTTTCCAGAAACAGTATTCAGAATTCTCCTCTTCTAAGCCAGCCGAGTTCACTGAATAGTTCCAGTGTACTACTAGAGACAGTAGACAACAGTCCTCAAATTGACCAGCAGTCGGTTGGTGGAACTGGACTAGGACAGCCCCTCCCGTATTCATATGGCAGACACAGTATGACTTCAATTGGAGGGGGCAAAGTGCCTTACGACAGAAGTTCATCCACTGGTACTACAGGTGACATTCCATTTTATCCTAAATTTTATTTAAAAACAATTAAATTGTTATCCACGTTTTTGAAATTTCAGTATGGAATTTATGAGCAAACTATTCCGCAGCGAACAGTGTTCCAAAAAGTTAAGATAAAGTCATCATGAAATTTGGTTTGAAAGCAAATAGTGTGACGTCAGTTTAGTTTGAATGCATGGTCGACATTTGGCTTGGCCTTAATTGAGACGAACATAAATTTAAGACTAAATAAAATAGATCAGTTGTTGAAGTTACCACATGAAAGTTATGTTAGATTACTAGCCTTTTGATATGTACATGATAATGGTAGAATTAAGTGTTTTTTTTAAAGATAAAAACCTTCGACTTTATTTAAGTGGCTCTTCAAAACTGAAGTCATCTCTGTCTAAACATTAAATTCTTGATTAGAAGTTGTCGAAGGAAAATTGACGTCCATATTAATGATCAGATTGAGGGTCTTTTACTTGTAAATAGATTTCTTGGACAACAACATTGTTGTCTACTGTGATAGGAAAATCAATCGACCCATATTTTGCACTATTTTTCTGCGCTATGTTCTATTCTTGGATCTTTTTCCCGATTAGTTTTCACAATTCAATATATGAAATAATTGTGGATCTTCAGAAGTCCTAGACCATGTGTTCTAGTTTTGAAACATATATCCGACGTCATAAACAACGTACTCTGCGTTACTTAATGGTATTGACCCCCCACCCCCGCAAAACAAATGACTACTTCATAGACCCACCTTGAAAATTGTCCCCTCCAAACTTTTTTGGGGTCTGAATGGACCCAACCGGAATTTTCATACTCAAGCTTTGAGAAAAATATGCCATGTTTGAGAACTCCAAATGAAAAAAAAAACTGTTTTGTTTTCCACGCAAAACAAATTTCCACGCAATTTTAAAGTTCAAGAACACATTTGGCTCTATATAACCATTATATTTTTCAGAATGGATCCACATTTGCGGGAGACCCCTGATAATTTTGAGCCCCCCAGAATGAAAAACGCCGTTTGTTCAAAAAATTTCCAAACCCCTTAAATTTCGACACCTCAGAGATACGTACTGTGAAGTATTCAGGCTTTTATACACTTTTATCTTTCAATGTTTTTTTTTGTGTTTGGGTGGTCATCTCCCTCTGTTTCAGACTACACGCGAAGTCTGGAAGAAGAGAATGCTCTGATGTGTGAAGAACTGCAGGCGACTGTGGTGGAGTTGAGTGAGGCGAGGGAACTAGCCAGACAGTTCGCTCTCCAGAAGGACCAGGGCGAGGCCAGACTTCAGAGTATTCTACACTGCATTTACGAACAGAACACTGTTCTGGGTATGCTTTAAGTTTCGGCTATTTCACATTAAAACCCAACGAATTACAGCCCCCCCCCCCCCCTCCCCCTCTATCCAGAGGGCCTCTAAATTACAAAGCAAATCTTATATCATTATGCAGCGGGTTTTACAAATTTTTTCTTACAAGGCTGGGAGGGAACGGGCTTTTTATGGAAGGAAATACCCTAGATTTCTTCGGCTTTAAAAAACCTTACATATACTCTTCTGTTTTTTGTTTGTTTGCTGATTGGTGGCTGTAATATCATCTCACAAAAACTACGAACTACGAATTTTGTCCTTTTGAGCAATCTTGATCGAAAAAATTCTTTACGTATTCCGAATATGTTCAATTAGCAGCTGATGTTGGTTTAAAATAATAGCTAGCAGCAACCGTTAAGCTCTATAGGCGTGTAAAAACAATATTATACTAATTTATTTTCTATCATATTTCACTAAATGTTTCATAAACTGCTTAGTTACCAACATTAATGCCACTCATTAGAAAATTAGAACGAACCATTTCTCATTTAATGTATAGGTAACAAACTTAATAAGTTATGTCTCTAGTGCCTGTGAATTGTCCTTTGTAAAATTGAGTTATGCATCTTTTAATGTATCCTCGTTTTAGACCAATGTTGTGGCCAAATGGACTTCTTGCGTGCCCTGGTGGATGAATCAGGAGTCCCCAAAATGGAGAGGAAGTCGAAGAGTGTGGACTCCGACAGCTTCACAGGCGAGTAGAACTGCTCATTTGAATACTTTTTCATGATATTTTATACAGATATCAAATTTTGCCTTATACAGATTTTATCTTTCTGTCAAAAGATTTTCAAACAGATCTGGTTAAGAGGCTCTTTACTTTTTTAAAAAGTGAAACAAGTTTCAACGCTCAATTCAGACAATATATTTGGGTTTAATCGACCGATTAATCAACAATCGGAGAAGAACGCCGATACTCTGACGATTAAGCAGCTGAAGAAAAATTAGTTCGACGGATGGCTTAAAACGTGAACACATTTCTTTTAAGTATTTAGCAGTTTTATTTAAGTTTTTTTTTGTTTTGCATGTATAATCAGTAGAACATATTAGACTGAACATTTAAATGGTTCGATATGTTTACAGGAGCAGACAGGGAGTCCAACCATCCGAACTCCTCTGGCGCTCTGGCCTTAGACGGGAGCACAGATGAAGAAATGGACACTGAGAAGACACCCGAGGAAGTGTCGGCGTCTTGCGTGAGGAAGTTGAACAGACTGGAGATTCTTCTGAAGCACAAGTTGAAAGAAGACAGAACAGTTAGGATGGAGATGAAAAAGGTTCGCTCCGTCCGTCATTTTGAACGTAACTAGCCTGGAAAAGTCCTTGCTTTGTCCAGCTGTGCACTTCAATAAGCTTTGTCATGGGCTAGGCATAGGGTATTAATTAAAAAATTCATCGTTGTTCCTAAATTTTAAAAAATAATACTTTTCTTACATAAATATTGTTGTGTACAAGGATTGTGATGGGTTTTGTATTTTATTGTTTTTCATCAATTTGTTTTAAAGTGCTGATTTAAGTTGATTATATCCGGATAAAATAAAATAACTTCAAACTTTGAACGCGCTTTTCTCAAATTGCATTGAGATTAAACAAAAATTGATGATATCCAAAGTTTCTTAGAATTTTTCCAAAATCATTATGGCGCAATTTTTTTTAGCGAATTTCACGGCCAAAATTTTACCCGAAAAAAAGGTCAATTTGTCTTCTTTTAGTCAGTAAAAAAAACTGAATCCAACGAGTCAATTGATGAGCAAACTAGATCTAAGCCTAACAAAGTTTTTAAAAGTAATGAACGTAGTGAAGACTCTTATATAAGTCTCGGCGATTTTTATTGTTTTTTTTCAGGAAAGCCTTAAAATGTGCATAAAATCTCTAATTACTACAGATGTGCATTCATACATTTTGATGAATTTATGAATGCACTTAGGTATATATGAACTTCTTGAGTTCAATTGTAATTCATTTGCTGAAAGTGACATAAATAGCACTCTCCAAATACGAACGTGCAAATGGCGCGAAAAAACATGAACGATTTCTAGTTTCGAAAGTGGAATTTATCTTTTAGATTTCCCGTGGATTAAACAATTTAGCCGTTGATACAGTTTTCTCAAGTCTGGTTAATGTTATCAAAAAAGCGCCAATCATAGATCGTTCTAGAATTTCAAAGAGCTTAAAGGGTATCTATTTTTTCTTTGAAATTCAAAAGTTGAGACTTTTTCAACAAGTCAGTGTTTTTTCTTTCATCAAAGTCAATGTTTGCTTGCGTTCTTTACTCCTTTCGAACCTTCGATTGGCTATGTTAGAAGAGTATAACTTCCAAAAAAAAATTGCGTAAAACGTTAAAAATTTGTGTTCAGGCAAAGAATTGGAATTTTATAGAGAACAATGACATTTTTTGGCCATCAAACAAACACTTATTTATAAAGGTTTTTGGATGTTATACAAAACTTGGTTGGGCGGTATAAGAGGATCATTTGATATATTTTGCTTATCAATTGACTTATTAAATTTAGCGTAATTTTTGATTGACTAAAAGAAGCCAAAATAACCCATTTTTGGGGGGAAAATTTTGGCCCCAAAATTTGCAAAATGAATAGCACCATAATAGTTCTGGTAAAGTTTCTAAGCAGCTGTGAATCTCATTATTTTCTGTCCGTTTATTTGTTGAGAAATACAAGTTTAAAAATCCAAGTTTTAATAATTTTGTCCGGATATTTTAAAGCATCACTGTATCAACAAAACGTACTAATGCATGAATCAATTTTATTTTAAAGATGAACATCATTTATCAAAAAAAGTTTTGTGGTATATAAGTTCAAGCTGCCTAGTAATTTCCCTGCAAGCATGATTATTAATTCAATCGCTGTGGACGAACGTGTTTTATTAGTTTATCGTAAACATGACCGCAAACTGCTCTACTTTGTTTAGACGAAGCAGTCTCTAAGTGATCAGAAAATGGAAAATGAAATGCTGAAGATACGCTTGCAGTCCCTTCAGCAACATCAGACTAACAAGACATCGGACCAGAAAGAGGAGGAAGAGGAATCCTCCTCGCCCCCACAACAGGACTGGACTGCAAACAAAAAATCTACTTCGACCTACTTTGGTATGCATTTACACAAGCGAAGCAACTTTTTTCCCCCGCCTAAAACGTAAATAAAAAAATTGCTCTTCTTGTGGGACTTTTGGTTGATTTTCGAAGCATGATTGGAAATGCTTTATTGGTGGCTAGTGTTTGTAAAAATGCGGCGACGCAAGACTCGTAATCTCCTGATCGGAAGTTGTTTCCGGCACATAAATTTTATTTTTAATACGTATCTTAACCTTTTTCTCACTGTGTTTGATGATAATTGATATGGAGACTCAATGCATCCTTCCAAACAAATCGTTTTCATTTCTAACCTGTAGAATCATCATGCATACCACAACAGAAGTTTGATCCCTAACCATTGAAGGAGTTGCTCATTATTCTATGAGCTAATAATGGATCTTGTAAAACGGCCGCTCAAAACCTTCTAAATTAGCATTTTGACATATTTTTGTAAAATATTGCACTCTAAAAGTAATTTTGGGTTTGGTTGTGGAGTAATTGACAGGCTCAAGTTAATTTTTGATAATGTTATAAAACCGACTTTACTTTGAAATTTTCATGTGTTTTCAAGATTTTGTTATTCCATTTTTACTTCAGAAAATGACTCATCCTCTATGGCTGGCAGTCCGACAGCATCAAATGCAAAAGTGTTGGAGACCCTGTCACAGCAGTACGAGGACATGTTACGTAATAAGGAGACGGAAATTTCCAAATTGAGGGAAGATCTGAAAAAAGCGATCAGGGGAAATAATTCAATTGACAGCGTGCGCAGGTACTTACTTCTAACTGCTATTTTGAAGTATATTTTGACTCTGTAGAACACTGATAATGATGTGATTAATAAATATTAACTACTTGCAACTACCGGCCTAAGCTGATTTTTTAAAATTTACTAAAAAAGGGTGAGATGTTTTTTACTCTTTTGTTTTCTGAGTAAAATGCATCCAAAAAAGTGATCAAAAGGGTTTGGCGTGTTCGCAATTGCTTATGCAAATCAATATGTAGTTTTTTACAAAAGTGAAGCTAGTATTATATTACCAGTCTATTTTTTCTCGATGCAACTCGACCTTTATTGGGTGAAGTTGGTCTCGCGAAGCTTCTATATTGGAGTGCTTGCCAGAAAAAGAAGATTAGCTTGGCTTAAACATGTTCCGAATGCTTAAGTAGATATGCACTATATATAATAATAAGATTTTGTTACGATTTTCGTTTTTAAGAGTCGATGAATGTAGTGAAGACTCTTATATATGTCGTGATGATTTTTATTCAGGAAAAGTCTTAAAATGCTCTAATAAATGCAGAAGTGCACTCATGCATGTTAATACATCTATGAATGCACTTTGGTATTAATACACTTTTGAGTTCAATTTAATTTCGTTCGCTCAAAGTTAGGTAAATTGCGTTCTCCAATTACAAATCTGCAATTGGCGAAAGTTGATTTAGTTTCGAAAGTTCTTGTAACTTTTAGATGTCGCAGTGGAATAAATAATTCACCTATTGATTCTTTTTTTAATTGTCAATTTTATCAAAAAAGTGCTGATCGAAAATTTCTTGAAATTTGAAAAGCTTTAAAGCCACATTGTCAAATTTGTGGCCTTAATCATTGTATTGTTTCGGCTTCAATTAATTCAGGTCAGGGTTTATTTTACCGAGGGTGGTGGTTTCGAACAAAAACTAGATTTTTTTTGAGATCGACTTTATTGATTTTCCGAGCTCTCAAAGTCACTATGAAGACCCCAGTTTGCCAAAAAAGGGACCCTTTGGGTGGTCTCGGAGTCAAATTCTGTGAGCTAGGAGGGGGCTTCCCCCTTGGCTTAAATTGAATCGACATGTTGTCTAGACTTCAGCCGGGCCAAGCCGCTCGTGAAGAAGTGTTGGCACTGCAGGAGAGGCTGGACAAAGTGAGTGAAGAGAAAGAAGTTGTGGAGACTAAGAGAGATGAGCTGAACAGAGAGATGATCAGGCTGAGGGCTGAGCTGACATCTAAGATAGACAGTCTCACCTGTCAGCTTAGTAGACTTGAAGGTAAATTCAAAAAAGACAGTTTTTAAGTGTTATAACGTATAAGTGAGCCAATTGATCTTTCAATTCGTGGGCTTGCAATGCTAATTTCTTGAGTTTCGCAAGTGGTCCGAAGCTCTGCTTCGTCTCTGTGTTATAAAATTAAAGCAAATGACGGTTACTGCACATTAAAGCTTAGAGGTAAAACCCATGCTCGCAACAAATGCAGGATTTTTATTTAAATGGAGGAAAAGGCCAAAATTGGATATCTTAAAATAGTACCAAAGGGAGACCCTTTGTGTCAGCAGGGAGTCGAATCCCCGAGAAGATGGGGCGTCCCCCCTCTAAATCCGCCCTGGTTTCCTCTCATTTAAGCCATTTTTACTTTAAATGAAATTCATTTGATTACGCTAGTGAGCAGCTAGTGTTTTAGTACGAACTTTCTTTTTTTCTAAACTATTTCGCAAATAAAATGTTCATTAAAAAAGTTGACTTGCGTGTCTTTTGGAAAGTTTCATAAGATCTGTTCTCCGCTTTGTTTGTGGCTTCTTTTTGTGACGGACTAAGCGTCCGTGGTTAGTGCGTGAGACTCATAATTTCTAGGTCGCAGTAGGTTCGTGTCCGAGACATCGTCGAACTTTTACTAATTAGAGACTTATTTTTAATTTTTTATTGCGCTTTTTAGAACTTGAGAGCTGCTTTTTGTCGTGTTTTTGCTAGTGTGTGCAAAGTTCAGCTTCGCTTCTGTGTTTTTTTTTTCAGGAACATGTAATGTCACCTATGATTTTGTAGAATTTCCTTTTCATGTTTTTTTTTAGCTGGAGTCTTTTACGGCTTAAATGGTTTTGGCTTAAGTTTGCCCGCGCGAAGGGTAGTCTCATACTGCGAAACAATTTTGCTTCAATTTAAGTCGCTGATATTAGTGCTATTTTCGGTGGTATTTTTTAGCAACAGGCAGCATCGGCAATTTAGTAGCACCGATTTGTGGTATTTGCTTTTTCGTTTGTGTTGGCGCATTTGCAGCTTTGCTTTATAGTAGTCGTTTTTGATTTTATGAACGCTAAATTTTGCGTTAAAAGGAAAGCACTTTTTATTGAAATTTTTTGCTGGGAATTTTTTGTGCATGAAATTTTCAGTTTTTTTTCGGATGCATGATTTGTTCATTTTTGTTCTTAAAATTTGTGTTTATTAGTTTTATGCAACATCGTTTCATAATTAGTTTTTGGCATAGCGTATTCTTTTTTGCCCATGCAATATTTGCGATTTATCTTTGTACTGAATGTGTGTGTTATTAGTTTTAAAGAATATAGTTTCATAATTAAATTTTAGCAAGTTCGTTTGAATCGATTCATAGTTATAGCCTAGCCCTATCTTTTTGATATCTAGAATGTGAGAGTTTCAATTTTGTTAAAATTTTGGGAATATATGAATTTTCGTTTTTTCAGTAACGGGCGTGTTGTTTTTTGTAATATATTTTGTTGTGATCAAGCTCTCACACTGCTGTGATTTGACTCCATTTTTGGTTCTGTTGGTACAAATGGATTAATTGTATGGACATATAGACTTTTCGTAAAATTTCTACTTTTTCTTTGAAAACATGATTTTTAAGTTTGTTTTTTTTTTCTTCAAATTTGTCCTTTAATCACAATGTTGAGCAGCGTTGTGTAAAAGTATGGGCCTTCTTTTTTCCAACCTAACTCGCAAATAAAATTGTTCATTGAAAATGAAAAGTGTTCATTGAAAGTGAAAAGTGTTCACGTATTTGGTTGCCTTTTCGCTATAATCACGATTTGTAGCATTGGAAATTTCATAGCATCTATTATTTGCTTTATTTGTGGCTATTGTTTGCTATTTATTAAGCGTCCGGGGCTGTGTGATTATTCGGTGAAACTCATTATCATTAGATCGCAGATCGAATCCCAGATGAAGCCGAGTTTATGACTAATTCTCCGAGGCTTATTTCTTTTTATTGCATCTTATAGAGCTACTGTTTGTGTTCTCGAAGAGAAGCTTGGCCTCTGTGTTTTATGTCAGTTTATAGACAGCAATGATTAGAGCGCTTTGATACTGCTCACTGTTCCTAATGGACAAGGAGTTTCTGATTAGTTCCAAGATTTTCAGCTAAGGTTTTCGTTCACGATTTTTTTCTTTTCTCTTCCATCTATTAATTATGAGAAAGAAAGGAAACGAGTATGTGTAGCCCTTATCCTTTTTTTGTTGTAGGTTTTTTGATTTCTATAGGAATTACATAATTAATTTATAGGAATTACATAATTAATTTTCTTGATTTTTCAACCGAGGGTTTCTGGAGTTCTGTCAATTTTTTCAGATTGCTTTCAGATTATTATCTTTTGAACTTAGGTATTTAATTTTGTGTCGCAAGTATTAAAGTTGTTGTTTCGATATTGGCTCAGCTTATATTCAATTCAAATTTATTTGCTAAGAAACAACTTTGTGGCGATACTTTTCTTTGAAACAAAATAGTTGAAGTTGTCAAATAACTTCGAATGTATCGTTTTTCGGTTTTCCTTTCGGAGTTCATCGACTCTTTTCCATCTGCCTGCTGTTGATGTTGTGCATGTGTTGTTAGGTGAGCGAAGTGAGTGGAGGGAGAGGATGGCGGAGATGGAGAAGGAGCTGGAGATGGTGAGAGAGATGACAGAGGAGAAGATGCAGGACATGGCAGTGGCACTAGTAGTGGCACACGACTTCCAGGTACCACTCCTGCTCTTGTTAATATTATTACTGCACTGAATCAAATCAACAGCCATCTGAATATGGAGCAGTCTTTGAACTGGAAACCCGCCTTTTGCCATAATTTTTTGTTTTTGGGTGTTTAGGTAGAGGAAAGCGAGAGAAGAAAGCGAGTTGAGAAAGAACTGGAAAATGCTCGAAGCGAACTGAGTCAACTAGAGAGTGAATGTAAACTACAGAGGACTGAGAGCGAGAGTATGAAGCGAGATTTAGAGAGCGAAAGAGAGGCGCACAGGATGGAGTTGACAAGTTATCAGAAACAGACCGAGGAATTGTCGACGAATATGAACAAACTAAAGAAGCAGCTGGGAGGGGGCTCAACTCCTCCGACTGCTGCGATGGGTCAGACGACTGGTATCTTGAACAGCAACAGCAATAGTAATCCGACTGCGAACACTACTACTACAACTGCTGCTGCCACGGCGGCTGTAGAAACGACTAAGCCTATCTCAACAAATAACAGTACGGATGAATATTTGATTTTTTTTAAATACCAAAAAGTTAGCTTATAGCAATGAATCAGAGGCTCAACAGCGGTTTCCTCTAAAGATCTGATCAACTTGTATGTTTGTACCTTCACTTGTTGGTAAATCATATCAACCTACATCTTAGAGACTGGATTTTAAGTTATTGTTCTGTGTAATGAAAGTGGGGAGGAACTTTGTGTTCGGGTGTTTTGCTATTTTTAGCGCAAAATCAGTCAATGCAAATAATCATAAGAATATGTTGAGTGATATATCATTTTTAAGAACTTGAGAATATGAGTTTTGTCATATATTGTGTTAATTTTATCAAAAAAGTGGCTATCATAAATTGTTCTAGAAATTCAAAGGGAATCTATTTTCTTTGAACAAAGATTTCTTTAAAAAACAGCAAGTTGGTCTTTTTTCTGTTTAATTGCGTTCAATGAATTTTTTCAACTTTGTTGGCTATGCCTTATTTCCAAGAGTCAATGAATGTAGTTAAGATTCTTATATAGGTCGTGATGATTTTTTTTAGGAAATGTTTTGAATTTTGTCCAGGCTCAAGTATACCTTCTCGCGGTTTGACTTTCGATGTCTTTTCGCTTGCAATTATCGAATGCGTTATGAAATGGAAATCTATACTTTTTCGGGTGAACAATTAGTTCAACAAAATCAGTCAAATGATTTATGATGCTGCTGACATGCTCATTTTTAAGAAAATTCAAATTTGACTACCGGGCACTAGTTACTGCTCATGCTATATCTAGAACTCAAACTATTACGTATAATTAATGAGTTTTGATATCAATTTTCTACTGATGGTTTTTTCGGTTTCATATTTGTCGAGTTGAGCTTTGTCGGTTTAGTTTCCAAATTATATAGTCTTCTGTGCATACACTCCTTATAAAGCTATCGTGGATCCTATCTGGGCGTTTTATGAAATTTGTTCCTATGTTATTACAAAAATTTTCAGCTGAGTTTCAGCTTATTGGATGTCGGCTTCAATTGGGTCGCCTTATTTACTAATTTTTTCCCGTTAAATGTCCGGTAGTACTATTGAGATCAATAGAACTCTGGCACTAATTTTTCGAATGCCAATTTCAATCCCACTAGGACCTTTTTGAAAAACTTAAATAAAATTAAACGTAAAAAAATGCATTTTTTTCTCGTTTTCCACTTCCTTCTTCAATTGTAACATAGTACGAAGTTCTGTTTGCTAATTTTTTAGCGTCATGGTGCGCTTGTGTCGCTATAATTGTTGTATCGCGAAGCTTTGGCTCTGTTTTTACGTTCAGTTCATTTCCTTTGTTAAAAGGATTGCAAACTCCACTCGAACAGCAAAAGCGTGAAAGTGACGAAAAACGTGATTGACTTTTATTTTCGAAGGTGGAATTTAAAAATCAGATTTCCCAGCAAAAAAAAAATTTAACCTTTTGATCCAGTTTTCTCCAAATGGATTAAAATGCGTTATTCTTTTCCGTTTCTCGACTCTTTTTCAACTGTCTGTTGGCAATGTTTCGAATTAACTGTTTCGAATTAAGTGTTTATTGTATCGTAAGTGTTGCTATGTGTCAAGATTTAAGTCAAGAACTAATAAAAATTACGAAGTTGCTTTTAGGTAAAACTGTTGGCCTGAGTAATAAACCGGTCCAGATAAACCCGAAGTCGCCAACAGGTCGCGAGAAACCAGCAAAGTTTATTCGAATGTCATCTTTAATGGAACCGGTATCACCTTCACCGATGTCTCCTAGCCTGTTTAAAACAGCTACTGATTTTGACGCAGATGTTGACGATGACTGTGTTGACAATGCGCCCATCATCAAGAACGTGAGATCAATGGTGGAGAACTTCGAAAGTCCTTCTGGCAGTCCGCTTTCTGCGATAGAAACAGCACCGGCTGCCAAGCATAGGCGCTATTCAGGTCAGTTTGAAATTTAAAAAGAAACATCATTTACACTAGAGAAGCGGTGTTTTAATGCGAAACCATGCTAGCAGATACTGTGTTTAAATAAGATCCGGAGATAAAGATGATTGAATTCAAGTTTCGATTCACATTTCTTATCTAAAGAGATGGTCGGCAAATTTTCCACACAAAAAGTTGAACATGATTTTTTAAATAAATTTGTTACTTTTAGTAGTAACCTTTCAAAAATGTTTCTTCAAATTCCGTCAAACAGATGAAACAGATTCGTGTGCGTCAAATAAATTATTGAAAATTGTTAATGTAAATTATTGTCACGATGGGGTTTTGCATAAATGGGTTCCTATTATTCAGGCGCCCAACGGAACGAGAAGCGAAGAGCGGTTCTGCAGTCGTCACACAGTGTGGACGAGCGACTGAGTGAAGTTGCGAAAGATGCCAATTTGAAGGAACTGGAAGACAACGAGAGTATCCTCAACAAAGTGTCCTCAGCAATTAAGAACATCAACGAGAAATGCGAAGCCACCGAGACTCCGAAATCTTCGGGTCATTCGAAACCCAGACCAATGAGATCACAGGTGAAATTGAAGTTCTAGCCGATTTCAAAACATCAAACAAAAAAGTCTCGAGAATATGTGTCGATTCAGATGAGATGTATCTTGATCAAAAGTTGTTGCTAAAATTGGTTTTTAGAGCCTTTTTGGAAATTCTGAGAAGTTCCTGATATAGGCTAAATACTTTTGAATGAATAGGAATTGAAGACTTTTGCTTGCCAAATTGCAGTTCTAACCAGAATTTTCAATTTTAGATTTCGGCTTTGGAACTTTCAACTAAAGCATACAGAAGTCCTTTGAATAAATTGAAAATCAACGACATAGTTGTATCTCGTGGATCCATGCCTCGCCAGAAGGTGTCAGACCCCATGCTCAAGCCAGGAGTGGTTGCGGGGGGATCGAACAGTACCAGTAGTGCGGCGAGCTCGGATTCTGAGAACTTGCAACCGGGTGTCGTTTCTGGGACCACTTCGGCAGGGCACTCGGCGGCTACGCTTACAACCACAGTGATTGCGTCACCTGTCACGAATTCATCCTCGCCTACGACACAGTAAGATACGAGCATCCTATAATCATTAATTTCAGTCAATTCTTAATTGGTCAAACTTTTAAGTTCTGTTCTGCTTGTGGTGTTAAATTTAAGTTTGATTTTTTAAAAACCATCTCAAACTGCGGAGCGTTAAAACATCATGGTAAAAAAAGAAACTTGATACCAAAAATAAGTGATTGAAACCAAAAAAAATCATGAGATTAATGATTTATTTCAGTCACGGAAGGGGATTTTTTTTGTTTCAAAGAACTGTTGAAGATAGTCTGGGTGGTGAAGTCTCAAGTCTCATTTGTACCACAGTTATTAGAGCTATAATGAAATTAGGTCCCGTTTTTACCAAATTTTTTCATCTGTCAATCTTTTAGTGTACTGACCGCAACGTTGCCGTCCTCCACCCGCAGTGGTGCCAACGCTTCCTCGCCCCTCGTCACCACATTCACAACGGCCGCCGGCGTCATCAGCGGCGACTCAGTGGGCTGTCTCGGCAACAACAGTAGCTGCGGCGAGAACGACGCCCTCAAACAACTCATGCAGAAGGGCAGCCATGTCTCAGTGCGCAATGCACTCCTCGATTGGTGCAAAGAGGTCTGTTTTTTCCTCAGTCCAATGAGAGTCGTTTTTTTAGCGTCGGTGGCAATTTTATTTGCAATGACACTAGCTGCTTTTTTGCTAGCTAGTGTTATTACACAAGCAACGCTTGTGTTATAGTATGAACTCTCTTTTTTTTCCAACCTAAGTCGCAAATGTGTTGCGAAAAAATGTGTTCATTTTGATAAATAACCAGCTATTAAGTACAGCGAATACTAAGGATATTAACACAGACTCTTATATCAAGAGTAATGAACGTAGTGAAGACTCTTATATAGGTCTTGCTGATTTTTTTCTGTTTTTTTTTCAGGAAAAAGTCTTAAAATTTGTTCACGCTCAATTTTGATTTTTCGGAGTTTGACTTGTGATTTATTTTTACTTTTAGCGTGTTTCTATTGTTAAAAGGAAGGCAAACTCCACTATCGAACAGCTAAAGGCCACCAAAATAGTGATCGACTTCCAATTTTGAAAATAGAAATTTATTATCAGATTTCCTAGCGAAATAAAAGTTTTACTTATTGATCCAGTTTTCTGAAATTGGGTTATTTTTAACAAAAAGTGTCAATCATAAATTGTTCTACAAATTCAAAGAGCTTTAAGGCCATCTAATTTTTAGTTCGAAATTCAAAAGTTGAAGATTTTAGAAAAAACGAGTCGGTTTTTTTTTCAGTTTCCTTACGTTCATTGTTCTTTTCCAACTGTCTATATTTACAAAGAGCACTTTAGCTTCAAGGTATCATAAATATGTAGCGTAGAGGTAGGGAAGGAGACTCTCAACAAAATAAGAGAGTTTGAACCTGGGCAGTGTCGGATGTTTTAAATGAACTTTTTGAGAGCGTCCGCTCTAAATCCGCCCTGGTTTCCTCTCGTTTGAGCAATTTTTACATTAAATGAAATTCATTTGATTACGCTAGTGAGCAGCTAGAGTTTTAGTACGAACCTTCTTTTTTTCTGCTCGCAAGTGTTTACTTGTTGCCTTTTTGCTATAATCACGATCTGTAGGATTGGAAATTTCATAGGATCTGTTCTCGGCTTTGTTTGTGGCTAGTTTTTTCATTGACTAAGCGTCCCTGGCTGAGTGGTTAGTGCGCGAGACTCATAATTTCTCGGTTGTAGGTTCGTGTCCGAGACGTCGCCGAAGTTTTACTAATTTGAGGCTTATTCTTACTTCTTTATCGCGCTTCTTAGAGTTGCTTTTTTTCGTGCTCTCGTGTTTGCGAAGTGCATCTTCGCCTCTGTGTTTATTTCAGTAAGATGTAATGTCAGCTATGATTTTGCTGAATTTCCTTGTCATGTTTTTTTTCTCTGGAGTCTTTTTTGGCTTAAATGGTTTCGGCAGAAGTTTGTGCGAGCGAGCGTATTCTCATACTGCGAAACAACGTTTTTCAATTCAAGTCGTTGATATTAGTTCTGCTTTTGATGGCACTTTTTAGCAACAGGCAGCATCGTAAATTTAGTGGCACTTGCTTCGAAGTTTGATTGCTTATAAATCAAAAGAGATGATGCTTTTTAAATTCGTCAAATCAACCGATTTGTCGCATTTGCTTTTCTGTTTGCGCATTTGCAGCTTCGCTTCTAGTTATATTGTTGTTTTTGCCTCAAATTGCGTTTTTGGTTTTATGAATGCGAAATTTTGTGTCAAAAAGGAAAACGTTTAATTGAGATTTTTTGTTGGGAATTTTTTGTGCATGAAATTTTAAGTTTTTCGGATGCATGATTTATTCATTTTTTCAATTTCGTATTTGTTAATTTAATGTAACATCGTTTCATAATTAGTTTTCAGGCATTTCGTTTTAAAACGATTCAAGGTGATGGCATAGCGTATTGTTTTTTGTTCATGCATTATTCAAGATTTGTTTTTTTTTCGGAATGTGCGTGTTATTATTTTTAAAGAACAGTTTCAAAATTAAGTTTGAGCAAGTTTCTTTTGAATCGATTCAAGGTTATGATAGCCTAGCCTAATGTTTTTTGTTATCTAGCATGTGAGTTTTCGTTTGTTTTTCATTAACGGGCGTGTTGTTCTTTGTAATCTTTTTTTTGTGTGATCCATCCCTCCCATGCTGCAATTTGACTTCTTTTTTGGTTCTGTTGATACAATTGGTTAATTGGTGCATTTAGAGTTTTTATAAAATTTCTGCTATTTTTGTGGCAAGTGTTTGAAAACATGATTTTTAAGTTTTTTACAAGTTTTTTCAACTTTGCTCTTTAAATAAACTGCCGAGCAGCGTCGTGTTATATTACGAACCTTCTCTGTTTCTAACCTAATTCGCAATTAAAAGTGTTCATTGAAAGTGAAAAGTGTTTACTTATTTTGTGGGCTTTTCTGCTATAATCTGCTTTTTTTTATTTACACGGGAATAGACGTGTGAACAATTCAAGGCGGCTTATGTTGTTATTTAACGAGAGGTGGAAGTTCAAAGAGAAGAAAAATTAACGTATCATCGTTACAGTTAAACACAAGTAAACATGATACAGAGCCCGAAAAGAGCCAGTTTTTTTTTTTAATTCGGCGGTCGATTTGGAAGTAATGTCGGTTGTTTCGTTCAGGTGACGAAGGTGTTTGCAGGAGTGGAGGTGACAAATTTCAGCAGCAGTTGGACAGACGGACTCGCTTTCTGTGCCCTGTTCTACTCGTGTGCCACCACCACACACCTCAAACAGTTCCCTCAATTCTCATCGCTAGTCAGACAGGCTTCCAAGGTACATGGCCACATCCAAAGCAGAAGATTGGGGGTGCGAATCCCCATGTGGTCGCCATAATATTGAAAACAGTGTTGTTGTCTTCAAATTTTGAATTATAATTTCATATTGCCAGAAAGCGTTTGTAATGAGAAATTTTATGCATATTGTTCGGCTAATTTTTTTCGATTGAATTGAGTAATTAAAAATTTATTTATTTCAGAGACAGAACTTCGAAGTTGCACAAAAACTGGCGACAAGCATCGGTATCAAATTTGATTTGGTAAGACTTATTCTCGTTTATGTAGTCTTCAAACAAAACAATATAACAGGGTTTTTACTACCTATTTGATTTAGGACGTGGAGAAAATAATTGCTAATGAGCGCCCAGACTGGAAGCTGATTTTGCCAGTGGTGAAGGCGATTTTCGAAGGGATCTCTGTGCTTAATTCACCAGCACAATCACAGCCTTAAATTGTATTTAAAATAGACAGAATTGGTGCAATCTTGACTAAAACTAAACTCTGATTTTGGTAATTTTTCCTTTATCGACACTGTCTGCCAAGCAGTTGTTAATTCGTTCGTTGCACAACTCATCAGCTAAGGCTGTGCTAAAAATCATAAAACAACCTGAAAAGCTTAAATTTATTTTTCGTACGGTTGACTATTACGCTGATGTACAGCAAATAAAGTAAATGTGTTTCTTCACAAAAAAAGATAAAAAGTCTGCTCTAAAAATAACGAATACAATCAAGGGCAATGTGGAGCCTATTCTACTTAGTTCGAATTGAAGGAGAGTCAAATGATGGAAGTAAAAATACCTAAGCGAGGAAAGTTGAATGGTTCCATGTGCATTGAAAATTTAATTCTGGTAGATATGTCATCAAACAAGCGAAGGACCGTAAAAATCCAGGAGTAGTTTCTCGAGATCCGATTGTGGTAGAGACTAGTGAAAATGGTAGAGAAAATTCTCAGTTAGAGAGTAGAATTGTTAATTTTAGTTGGCGTCACTATGTAATACGTAGCGTCTGGAGATAAAAAACTGAACATTGCTTAACTGTATAAACACCTGTAGATTAAAAAAAAAATACGGGGACAAATCTCCGTAACTAGAGCGGAATTTCCCTCCCCTTTTAAGAAGACCCGTCGGTTTGAACCCGGTAATTCATATAAATCGCTTCCGCCCCATCCCGGCAACGTTTATGTCCCGCGATATAGTTCCAGGCTAGGCCCTCTTGGTCATCTCGTTGTAACATAGTGCTTCACACCTATGTTAGCTGGTAATCATTAATTACCATAATTGGTGCGATTTAGATTAAAATGTCAATGCCATGTTACGTCAATGATAAAGTAATAAATCTATTTTTACTTAATGCAAACAATGAGGAGAATGAAAGAATCAGAATGATTGGAGGACCATTACAATCAAGGAGCTCAAAATATTAATTGAAACATTAATACTCACTTTAATTAATCGATCAGTTTAGACTCTAGAGAAAGGGGGTTGCCATCACGAAGCACATCCCTGAGTCGAAGATATTAAACCTAGACCGCACATCCATAACAACATACTTCATCACTCTAGACTGCAAAAGCAACACTTATCGATCAAACGTTTATAACCAGAAACGGTATATCACATGGTGACTATGAGTGGGATGATGTTACCAACCACTCAGGACGAGCTAAAGCTGATTGTAAAGGGAGAGTAAAAACAAGACGACTTTCAACAAAAGACGACTTCCAAATTCAAAAAGCTGAAACACGATCACGGCAGTAACTTGCCCGAACAGCAGGAAAAAGGGGGCAAAAAACAGAAACTGATTACAGCCAGTGAGAGACGACAGCAAGGGGCAAAGGAAACTTTATCTGTTCTGTGTTGATGACAACCGCCACACTTCTTCAGGAAAAGTGATACAGAGTACAAAAACAGTTAGTTAAAACTTAAACTTAAAACTCTCGGTTCTTAAATTTAAATTGATGAGTTCTCATTAGAAACCAGTCATATGAAATCATCTATGAGTAACTATTGAAAACCTATCTAGTGCTTAAAGACTAAACCAAATTGGAAAAAACATAGTGGAATCATATTAAAGCCGTAAGGAAAGGTAACTTAAAAAGTAGCAGAAAGTTTAAATTATAGAAAAGAGAGTTAATTAATTCCTATCCTTAACTAATTACAGTACGAGGTATCTGTAGATTTCCTTAGAGACAATAATTACGTCCTCAAACCTAAGTACCCACTGGGCATTGATAAATTCCACTATAAAAAATTGACTGTTTCATCGAAATCATTTATCGAATCAGACTTGACAATCAAATAACTGTGATAAAATGGCACACGACCAAGTCACAGTCGAACCATTTGGCGGGAGCGATACCGAAGGTTTCGCCCAATTCGAACAGTTCTTCCAAGGATATGTGGGAGTAGCGGGAATCGCGAATGATCAGCAAGCGAACTTTCTTCAACTGCACCTGCGAGACAACGAGTTGCAATTCTTCCAGACACTGCCAGCGCTAACGAGAGCGGACGTACCTCTTAGTCTAGCGGCGCTACGTGACCATTTTTGCAACCCTCAATTGCAAGAGGTTCAAGTCCTAAAATTCGAACAATCGAAGTTTGATATCAAGAAGGACTCACCAGAGAATTACCTGGTACAGCTCACAAAAAAGGCACAACGAGCCTACCCGACACCGGACATACCTGCGGTTGCCCCAATTGATGGAACAATAGCAGGCGCTGCCACCAATGCAGATGCAGCGCGCTTCCATGGAGAGACGGCGCAACGGCGAGAACGAATTGACGCAGAAAATGATAATAGGAACAATCAGATTAAACGTCTCTTTATTAAAGGCATGCCCAACTGGCTCCGTCCGGAGATGATGGAACAACCAGCTGCCACAACAGTACGAGAGCTTTGCAACCTTGCACGCAAACTAATGACAATTAGAGACGTCTGTCGTAACGAAGACTACCCAGAAGATAGCTTCAACGAAATAGGTGAGACAGTTTCTCACAGCCTAATCAGTGCGTTGTCAAAATTAACAACAGCCCAGGAACACATTGAGAAACAATTCAACTAAGTCCGTAGTGAGCAATCGGATCAAAGAAAAATGATACAGTCACGACCACAAGATGGCAAAGGAACCACACAGCAGTGCCCTCAACCGAATATTCAAAACATTGGTGGGAATAGCAGTCAAGCCCAGCAACATTTGCATCAAGGAAATCATGCAAATAGTCAAGGAACTGGAAATGGCTCAAATCAGAACAATACGTCTGGCCCTACTCAAGGAAATGGATATGGGCAACATGGATACAACCAAAGAAGAGGTAGATTCGGTAGGGGGAAAAGGAACGGACAGCTGAGAAATGATGGGGGATACGGAAACCAAGATTTCCATGGATTCCAAAATATGCAGTACCCCCCACAAATGTTCCAGTTTCCCCAACAGATATCTGGAATGCAATCGAACCCAAATTTCCAACAAAACCAGAACAACCCTCGAACAACAGAACACCCCATTCCATCCGAACCAGATGCATCCTCAAACCCAACAGCAACAAGCGATAGCAATACAGCCACAATCGAACACTCCGTTTGCCCAACAAGCCGTACAACCCATGATCCAGCAGGTGCACACCCAAAACCCTAATACATCAGCAGTTCGCACCGGATCAAAGTTCTGTGACCACTGTGGGAAGTTTGGCCATACTATCAGTCAATGTTGGTACAAACCCAAGCCCCAGGGACAGTAGCAACAGAATTTCCCGTTCCAAATGGAACCAAAAAAAACTAAGTCAGCCAAATCATTTAAATCACAAAAATCACGAAAATTAAACATTCAAGACGTACAAGACAATGAAATTATTGATCTGCACGCAGTTATCCCAAAAGAGGGAACGGTGTTAACGTATATGAAAATAAGATTCGCGCCAAGCCTTCAAAGAAGAGTACTGATCGACACAGGAGCATGTACCAACGTAATCTCAAAACACACATTCGACGAAATGAAAAACGACAAAACACTCTTCACACCCTATAAAACGGCAAAATCAAGCCTCAAGCAAGTGCGAATGGCAGGAGGGCAACTGGTGTCAATAGAAACCGAAGTAACTAATGAATTTCATATGGCAGACATGAACTTTACGGAAACGTTGCTAGTGTTGAATTCGGCCAATTCAACAATCCTCGGAAACCCTTTCTTTAAAAAACACCATATACATGTCTGCCCAAAAAACAACTTACTTCACTTCCCGATTTGACACTCCAAATCAATGAAATTAAACCCGTCAATGCACCTAGACGCACCAACCGAGTGAAAAAATTCCCTCTGGTTCTCACCAAGAAACACATAATTGCACCCCACCAAAAAGTAATAGTTGAGTGCCAATTGCAAGATATCCCGACGGACATGGAAAAAACGACGGGAATCGTAGTCCCTTCACAAGAATTAGAAGAAAAGTGCGAATTAGCAGTAACTTCATCAATAATTGAAGTTAGCAAACAAAATATGGTCTACGTCACAGCATTTAACATGACGGAGCATAACTTAACGCTGCCTTTTAAAACTGAAATTGGAAAATTTTCGATACTCACGTTAACCGAATACGAAAACCTAATACAGATCGAGCCGCAAACGTTGGCATTAGCGAAAATGAACCAGCCGGATAATGCCGCACTCGGAATTAATGAAATAATTTTTCAAAAAACGAGCCCATCAGAAGCCTCAGAAAAAAAGCTACCGCCTGAATACGAGAAGTTTTGGTTCCCGACACCAGAAACGTGCCCTAATCCGGATTCATTTCCGAGTATTCAAAGGGAAATTTATGACCCAATCCTCTACTTTCAAGGTCTCGAGAAAATTGAACCAAAAATAACATTCAAGACATTTCTGAATAATTTTTAGTGGGAGAATTCCGTGTTGACAAAAGACCAAAGGTCAGAAGTAGAACATTTACTTGTCGAATATGCGTACATATTTGCCAAACACCGATTTGACGTGGGCTATAATTCCGATCTAAAGATCAAGCTGATCCCCGAACATCACCGCCCATTTTACACTCAGGGACCACCTACGCCGATCCAATTAAGGAATGAATTGACGGTTGAATTAGCCCTGATGCACTACTTTGGACTTATAACAACACTGTCACACTCTAAACACAGTAGCCCGTTGTTTGCGCATAGAAAGCCATCTGGAAAATAGCGGATGTTGATTGACCTCCGACGCATCAATCACTCAATCAAAACTGACTATATAAATAGCAACTTCCCAATATCAAACATGACCGATGCATCAAACCACCTACAAATGCCTAGCTCAATGTCTAAGTAAATCGGTCACAGGATTCAGTTCATTCATCCGCCACTACCTTGATCCCTGCCTAGCAGCTGTTTTGTGTACACAATTCATGGACGATATAGGAAGTGCGGTGAATAATTATCAAGAACTAATCCCCACGTTAAAGAAAATATTCGACTGCATCCGAAAATCAGGTCTAAAACTATCACCTAAGAAATGCGAAATAGGAACACAAAGAATGAAGTTCCTAGGAAATGTAGTAACACCACAAGGAGTTACGCCAGAGGAAGCAAAAATTTCTACATTCCTAAGCAAAATAAAAATGCCAAGAACTATAAAACAAGTAAAAAGACTCATTGGGTTTGTACAGTTCTTTAGGATTTACATGCCGAGTCTTGATGAAATATTATTACCTTTTTATAAGCTGCTGAAAAAGCAGATTGATTTCGAAATAACGGAAGATCACTATAAAAACCTTGAAACTCTAAAAAAGACTTGATACAAGCGATCACGTTGAC